CGATCATAATGCTCAGGCGTGAATATTGAAATGAACCCTTGCATGGGTGGGTTCAGTTTAGACCGACAATAGCCTAGTGAGTGAATTCCATTGAACCAGAGGCTCCCATGAATAATACCGGTTCCTTTTGACAAAATGCAATGCCTACATGTTTCTGGCTTTGAAAGGAACACTTCATACGATACTTAACAATGATAAAAAGATTCAGTGAAAGAGCTAACAGTATTTCACATGATTAGCAAGACCAAATCTAAACTCATTCGCCAGCAAAACAGAGATTTTATTTTTTCCTAAATAATTCCCAGATTGAGAATTGCGTTCTACCCACAATGCCAATGGCAGAAACCTGCCACACAGCTTCTCCCTTTGTTACTCAGCTTCATCTCGTTGCGTCATTTATCATCCCTCGCATATTTTTTGCAACTTAATTACATCTGTGACATCCTTATAGTTAACAGAGGTAAACCTGAATCGCTCTCTTACCCGGCTGACCTTGTCTATTGTATCCGTTCGCGATCAAGCGCAGTATCATACTGCAATTAAACCAGGCCTATTCGTTATGCTTCAAAAGCTTACTCGGTGCATCAACCACTGTAGCTTCCTCCCCATCCAGCCCATCTGACAACTTACCAGATCAATCGGACAGCCCGGATCTGATACTGAACAATCGTACTCAAGGATGACCAACCACATGGCATCGCATGATAGAACTGGTCAATACGTGGGCCAATTTGTAGGTGTAGTCCATCCGCTTGCGCTTATGTGTTCTAACCGCTACATTCGATCACGGAATTGACTGTTTTGATTTCAACCCTGAAGGAACCATTGTATCGTTCTGTAACCGTCACTCCCGTCCAATATTCGGTGACTGAGTCATCCAGACTTACCTCAACTATCACTTTGAAATCTCACCGGCATCTGTGTTACGCTCGGGGCATAGAATAGGAAACGGGGTTGAGTTTAAGTTAGCCAACTTTCTGTGTCTATCTTTTATTGATGTGAAATCAGTATTCAGACACTGGAATCTGTCAATCGGCTTCATCGAGCCAAATATTTAATCTCACCATTTACGGTACCTATGGCTCTGCAAGAAAAGTAAGACGGATAAACACTTGTGTAAATCCTGAAAACGCTTTGTGGATGCTTAGCGTATGTTGTTTGGTAATGGACAGGTGAGACGGAAAAGTACATTTCCCCCTATAAAAGTGACTATTTCCCCTTTATTTTCCTAATTATTTCCATAAAATTAAAATTGCCAAATTTTCGCGTTGAAAGAAACCTCTTTCTACACTACTGGCCACAACTTTTGAGGTACTTTTGAGGTAAATTTCAAGGCCATTGATGTCTAATTCCGAATCTGATGAGTCGTCCGTAATCGCTGCCTTTTGGATCGAGCCAAATATACAACCCTACCTGAAGGCCTGTCTTCCGTCTTCTGTCTAGCCGGATTCTGAGATCGAACGACTTTCGAGACGCGTTCTTCCGGCGCTATTAGTGATCGCGCTAGGTAACGCAGTTGGGCGTATTCGTGTTGTACTCACTTGGACACTGGGTCGTTACGGTTTTCACTCGTGATCTGTCCTATCGCAGGCTCATGGGGTTCACGATCCAGGTTAGTCCGGTCTCGTCGTTTATCCGAACGTTACAACAGCAGGCTAGACATAAGTGACGAAATCAATAGGTGCGTTACATTTATCCAAAAAGTTACTAAATTGTCCGGTTTCAATAAAAAATAGAGAAAAAATGATATAGCTGACCTGTTAAGAATGTTCCATCCCCGGTTTCTTTCGACGTAAGAATCCCGTAAATCCTATGGACATTTTTCGGCGAACTGCGTCAAGCGAATCGCGTTTTTCGC